ATGTTTCCAGACAAAAAATGAGCTATGGTTTAAAAATCAAGCCTGGGCCGGTTGCGGTGGCTCATGCCTGTCATCCCAGCACTTTGGGAGACTGAGGCAGGCGGGTCACCTGAGGTCAGGAGTTTGAGACCAGCCTGGCCAACATGGTGAAACCCTGTTTCTACTAAAAATACAAAAATTAGCTGGGCATGGTGGCAGGTGCCTGTAATCCCAGCTACTCAGGAGGCTGAGGCAGGAGAATTGCTTGAGCCTGGAGGTGGAGGTTGCATTGAGCCAAGATTGCACCATTGTATGCCAGCCTGGGCAACAGAGTGAGACCCTGTCTCAAAAAAATAATAATAATTTTTTTTTTTTTTTTTTTTTTGAGACGGAGTTTCGCTCTTGTTACCCAGGCTGGAGTGCAATGGCGCGATCTCGGCTCACCGCAACCTCCGCCTCCTGGGTTCAGGCAATTCTCCTGCCTCAGCCTCCTGAGTAGCTGGGATTACAGGCACGCGCCACCATGCCCAGCTAATTTTTTTGTATTTTTAGTAGAGACGGGGTTTCACCATGTTGACCAGGATGGTCTCAATCTCTTGACCTTGTGATCCACCCGCCTCGGCCTCCCAAAGTGCTGGGATTACAGGCTTGAGCCACCGCACCCGGCAGAAAAAATAATAATAATTTTAAAAAAAGTAAATAAAAATCAAGTCTGGGCAACATAGCGAGATCTCATCTCTACAAAAAATATTTTTAAATTAACCAGGCCTGATCCTGGCATGGTGGCTCACACCTGTATTCCCAGCAATGTGGGAGGCTGAGGTGGGTGGATCACCTGAGGTCAGGAGTTCAAAACCAGCCTGGCCAACATGGTGAAACTTCATCTCTACTAAAACTACAAAAAAAATTAGCCAGGCATGGTGGTAGATGCCTATAATCCCACCTACTCGGGAAGCTGAGGCAGGAGAATCACTTGAACCTGGGAGGTGGAGATTGCAGTGAGCCAGGATCATGCCACTGCACTCCAGCCTGGGCAACAGAGTGAAACTCCATCTCAAAAAAAAAAAAAAAAAAAAAGAGAGAGAGAGGAGAGAGAGCAAGACCTGGCAGTGCACACCCCCACAGTCCCAGCTACTTGGGAGTCTGAGGCAGGAGGATCACTTAAGCCCAGGACTTTGAGGCTACAGTGAACTAGGATCATGCTACTGCACTCCAGCCTGGACAGCAGAGCAAGATCCTGCCTCAAAAAAATTAAAGTGTTGTCAGAGAATAACACAGAGCGTACTTTTGGCTCTCTTACACGCTGTTCAGTTATTTGCATGCACATTTGCTTACTCACAGGTGAGGAAGTCAGTGGATAGATTGAGTCAAGTCCCAAAGGCAAAACCAGGATTTATAACAGAGGGTGAGGGAGGATAGTTACCAGGCGTATAGGAACAGCGACAGTGACTCTTGTCTAGGCTTTGGAGAGAAGGTGGTTGCTGGTAGGAGCAAGGAAGGCAGAGCACTCATTCTGCCCTTGAAGGGAAACAGACCCTTCCCATTGTTCATGGAGTCTCTGGGAAACTTGTCAGATTGGCCCTGGGCCATGCTTGACCATACATCTCTGGGTAAAGGTGTCCTCTGTCAGCACCTCCCTTAGCAATGTTCCTCGAAGCCGAATGAAAGCTGCTCCGAAGCAGCTGGGTGTTTTAAGAAAAATGAGGGTGGGCAGGGCGCGGTGGCTCAAGCCTGTGTTCCCAGCTGTTCCTCAGCCTTTGGGAGGCCGAGGCGGGTGGATCACGAGGTCAAGAGATCGAGACCATCCTGGTCAACATGGTGAAACCCCGTCTCTACTAAAACTACAAAAAATCAGCTGGGCATGGTGGTGTGTGCCTGTAATCCCAGCTACTCAGGAGGCTGAGGCAGGAGAATTGCCTGAACCCAGGAGGCGGAAGTTGCGGGTGAGCCGAGATCGCGCCATTGCACTCCAGCCTGGGTAACAAGAGCGAAACTCCGTCTCAAAAAAAAAAAAAAAAAGAAAAGAAAAGAAAAATGAGGGTGTGCAAATGTCTGTGTAGAAAAGAACATTCTCACCTGTTTAATATGGAAAGTATCGCTGGGCATGGTGGCATGTGTCTGTAATCCCAGCTTCTTGGGAGACTGAAGTGGGAGGATCTCTTGAGCCCAGGAGTTCTGGGCTGTAGTGCGCTATGCCGATCGGGTGTCCGCACTAAGTTGGGCATCAATATGGTGACTTTCCGGGAGCGGGGGACCACCAGGTTGCCTAAGGAGGGGTGAACTGGCCCAGGTTGGAAACGGAGCAGGTCAAAACCCACGTGCTGATCAGTAGTGGGATCCAACCTGTGAATAGTCACTGCATTCCAGCCTGGGCAACATAGCGAGACCCTGTTTCTTAAAAATAAAATAAAAAATAAAAAAAATATGGAAAGTATCACTGTCTTAAAACAGCAGCTGGGCACAGTGGCTCATGCCTGTTATCCCAGCACTTTGGGAGGCCAAGGCAGGCAGATCACCAGGTCAGGAGATTGAGACCATCCTGGCCAACATGGTGAAAGCCTGTCTCTATTGAAAATACAAAACTTGGCCAGGCGTGGTGGCTCAAGCCTGTAATCCCAGCACTTTGGGAGGCTGAGGTGGGTGGATCACTAGGTCAAGAAATTGAGACCATCCTGGTCAACATGGTGAAACCCCATCTCTACTAAAAATACAAAAAAAATTAAAAACTAGCTGAGCATGGTGGCACGTGCCTGTCACCCCAGCTACTCAGGAGGCTGAGGCAGGAGAATTGCCTGAACCCAGGAGGCGGAGGTTGCAGTGAGCCAAGATCGCGCCATTGCACTCCAGCCTGGGTAACAAGAGCAAAACTCCATCTCAAAAAAAAAAAAAAAGAAAATACAAAACTTAGCTGGGCATGGTAGTGCCTGCCTGTGTTCCCAGCTGCTCAGGAGGCTGAGGCAGGACAATCACTTGAACCTGGGAGGCAGAAGTTGCAGTGAGCCAAGATCACGGCATTGCACTCCAGCCTGGGCAACTAGAGTGAAATTCCATCTCAAAATAAGTAAATATAAAACAGTGGCTGGGCATGGTGGGTTGCACCTGTAATCCCAACGCTTTGGGAGGCTGAGGTGGGAGGATCGTTTGAGCCCAGGAGTTCAAGACCAGCCTGAGCAACGTAGGGAGACCACCCCGCTGCCCATCTCTGCAAAAAAAATTTAAAAGATTAGAAAATTAGCCAGGCATGGTGCCATTTGCCTGTAGTTCCAGCTACTCAGTGGGCTGAGGTGGGAGGATGGCTTGAGCCCAAGGGGGTAAAGGCTGCAGTAAACTGTGATCAAACCACTACATTCTATCTGAGTGACAGAGCAAAACCCTGCCTCCAGAAAAAAAGAACATAGGTGACTATGCCGTCTATGAAACAGGCCATATTAAGAAAGACCCCTGGCTACTGAAGAGGAAGACAGGGATGAAAGCCACGGAAGGGCCAGGCACAGTAGCTTACACCGTAATCCCAGCAGTTTGGGAGGCTGAGGCAGGAGGCTTGCTTGAGCCCAGGAGTTCTAGACCAGCCTGGGCAACATAGTGAAACCCTATCTCTTTTTTTTTTTTTTTTTTTTTTTGAGACGGAGTTTCACTCTTGTTACCCAGGCTGGAGTGCAATGGCGCGATCTCGGCTCACCGCAACCGCCACCTCCTGGGTTCAAGCAATTCTCCTGTCTCAGCCTCCTGAGTAGCTGGGATTACAGGCACGCACCACCATGCCCAGCTAATTTTTGGTATTTTTAGTAGAGACGGGGTTTCACCATGTTGACCAGGATGGTCTCGATCTCTTGACCTCGTGATCCACCCGCCTTGGCCTCCCAAAGTGCTGGGATTACAGGCTTGAGCCACCGCGCCCGGCCTGTGAAACCCTATCTCTACAAAATTTTTAAAAATCAGCCAGATGTGGAGGCTGTGGTAGAAGGACCACTTGAGCCCAGGAGTTGGAGCCTGCAGTGAATCGTACCACTGCACTACAGCCTGGGTGACAGAGTGAGACCTTGTCTCAAATAGAAAAACATGGCCAGGCGTGATGGCTCACCAGAAATTTGGGAGGCTGAGGCAGGCTGATCACAAGATCAGGAGTTCAAGACCAGCCTAGCAAACACAGCAAAACCCTGTCTCTACTAAAAATACAAAAATTAGCCAGTCATGGTGGCGTGTGCCTGTAATCCCAGCTACTTGGGAAGCTGAGGCAGGAAAATCGCTTGAATCTCGGAGTTGGAGGTTTCAGTGAGCTGAGATTGCACCACTGTACTCCAGCCTGGGCGACAGAGTGAGACTTGGTCTCAAAAAAAAAAAAAAGTAAGCCCTCCTGATTCATTTATGTTAATGCTTGCCCAAAGCTGCCACATGTGGCTGTGCAGGGTGCATACTGCACAAGGATGCCACATCTGTGGGGGCTCCATTTACAACAGAGACATTGTAAATTTTATGTTAATTTCAGTAATTTCTGACAGGTGGCAATAAGCCTTCTGGCTCTAACAAAACAACTTTTTTTTCTGAAAAATGGGAGCAAATGGCCCAAAATTGCAGAAAAAATAGCCACATGGGCTGAGTGGTCATGAGCCTGGCCTCATAGACAGGTTTGGGTCCCCCACTGGTTTTTTGTTTTGTTTTGTTTTTGTTTTTTACATTTTTTACTTTTCGTAGAGATGGGATCTTGCTATGTTGCTCAGGCTGGTCTTGAACTCCTGGGCTCAAGTGATCCTCTCACTCGGTCTCCCAAAGTGCTGGGATTAGAGGCGTGAGTCCAGCCTGGCCTCTGCCTTTAAGCAGCCATGACTGTCACCCTTCGAGTGGCACCATCGGGATGAACAGAAGAGTCTTCAGATACGCCCTGCCACTTGCTTCTCCTCCCTCCCTCCTCCCCCTGTCCCCGCCAGCCCACTGCTTCTTGTGGCCTTGACTGCCCACTGTGCCTTCTGGCCTATAAGCGGCGGCTCACTCCGGACCCCTCTTCCCTCCATCTCTCCCTCCAGAACGTAGACACCCTGGAGCGAATAGCGGGGCTAGAGCAAGAGGACCTGGTGGAGGCCCACGGCACCTTCTACACGTCGCACTGTGTCAGCCCCAGCTGCCGGCGCGAATACACGCTCAGCTGGATGAAAGGTGAGGCCAGAGGGCATCCCGAGGGCGGGCCACCCCGCAGCAGCAGGCGCAGGGCCAGGGTCTCCAAGCAGTGGGCACCCATTCTTGAGTCCCGCTTAATGTTGACTGAATTGTAAACGTTGTGTGTGGCTTTATCTACCATATTGGACAGTGTGGCAGGACGTACAGCGTGAGAAGGTGGACCCAGGCCTGGTGAGGGTGAAGGCTGGGGCCGTCCCTAAAGACTGCAGGGCCTGCTAGAGTCAGAATCACTGTTCATATAAGGACTGAATATATAGAGAAAAAACAATCAGCCAATTCACATTTCTTGAATGCCAGAGAGAGATGATTTCGGACACCCATTGTGCTCATTCAGAAGCCATTTAATTCCGGCCAGGCTCAGTGGCTCACGCCTGGAATCCCAGCACTTTGGGAGGCCCTGAGGCGGGTGGATCACCTGAAATCAGGAGTTCGAGAACAGCCTGGCTAACACGGTAAAACCCTGATTCTACTAAAAACACACTAAAAATTAGCCAGGCGTGGTGATATGCGCCTGTAATCCCAGCTACCTGGGAGGCTGAGGCAGGAGAATCGCTTGAACCTGGGAGGTGGAGGTTGCAGTGAGCCAAGATCCTGCCACTACACTTCAGCTTGGGCAACAAGAGTAAAATTCCATCTCAAAAAACAAACAAACAAACAAACAAGAAGCCACTTATTCCACTCATGGAAAGCCACTTCTGACATTCTTTATGCTGATTTAACAAAGCCACTGGTGTCCCTGTTGGATAAGGACAGCTGCAGCATTTGCAGAAGGGCCTCTGGAGTGCGGCTGTTCTGACAAAATGCCAGCTGAGCGCCCCTGGGCCGAGGAGTCCTGAATGGCCCAACTGCGGGCAGCTGGGGCAGTGCACAATTCCTATGCCCCCCGTTATGTGTCACCGACAGCGCCGTCACAGGCAGCACCCACAGTGTCATGCTGTCCATACAGAAACAGTGTAAAGAAAATTCCCGACTACTGACGTGGAAACAATGCGCTATGAATGTGTGCTGAATGAACAAATGGACAGTCGAGCCAATGACTTAGAATTCAGTGGGTTGCAAGTGACAGAAATGCTTGCTTGCTTGTTTTTGTTTTGTTTTGTTTTGTTTTGAGACAGAGTCTCGCTCTATTGCCCAAAAAAAATTTAAAAAGGCTGGGTATGGTGGCTCACACCTGTAATCCCAGCACTTTGGGAGCCCAAGGTGGGCAGATTTGCCTGAGCCCAGGAGTTTGAGACCAGCCTGGGCAACATGGCGAAACCCTGTCTTTACACAAAATAGAAAATTCAGCCAGGCATGCTGGCATGCACCTGTAATCCCAGCTACTCAGGAGGCTGAGGCAGGAAGATCACTTGAAGCTGGGAGTTCGAGGTTACAGTGAGCCATGATCGTGCCACTGTACTCCAGCCTGGGCAACAGAGCGAGACCTGTCTCAAAAAAAAGAGGTGTTTCCTAAACAGAGTGGACACCCCAGGAGATGTCCACGTGACGGAGATGTGCTCATACTAGCAGTGGAGGGGGTGGGGGTGTTGGACCCGCAGAGCCTCTTACTGCTTTCTCTGTCTTCCCCTTCCCCACACCCAGGAAAGATCTTCTCAGAGGTGACGCCCAAGTGTGAGGATTGTCAGAGCGTGGTGAAGCCTGGTGAGCCTCGGCCCAGGGTCCTGCCCAGGTGGATTTGGGTGGGGGTCCCCTCCTTCCTCTGACCCCTTCCCAAAGGCCACACCCCCACACATCTAGCCACCTCTGTCTCTCTAAACAGTGCCCCAGATCCATCCTGGGGAGAGTGGGCTCTGTGTCCCTGGCCGGTCCCCACTGCGCCCAGCTCCCACCCCAGCCTCCGGGTCTGCCCCTGCCCCCACCTGTCCTCTCTTCCTCCCCATGTCACTGTCTCTGTCCATCTGTCTTGGCCTCAGATATCATCTTTTTTGGTGAGAGCCTCCCAGCTCGTTTCTTCTCATGCATGCAGTCGGTAAGTGCCCATGGCACCGCCCTCCCTACCCCCCAACCCCCACCTCCCCCTGTGCTGGGCCCCTTGGGGGCAGCCTGAGCCCTGCCCGGGAAAGCTTGCCTCCCTGGCTGTGAGGGGGCACAAAGAGGTTTGCTGCTGGGGGCAGGGGAGGGAGCGGTGGCGCGGCCTGGGCAGAGGCTCCCGAGCTCACCCCTCCCCGCAGGACTTCCTGAAGGTGGACCTCCTCATCATCATGGGCACCTCCCTGCAGGTGCAGCCCTTCGCCTCCCTCATCAGCAAGTAGGTTGGGGGCTGCAGCTGGGAGGGTGGCTGGGCACCCAGGGCCAGGACAGACCCTGATCCCTCAGCTCCCCCTCCCCCCAGGGCACCCCTCTCCACCCCGCGCCTGCTCATCAACAAGGAGAAAGCTGGCCAGGTAAGAGCCCTTCCTCACACCCCCCTCCTCACTGCCTCCCCCTTCCCTCCCACCAGCTTCCTCAGAGGGAACCCCTGCTGTGGAACCCCAGCACTTTGGACTCCTCAGCTCAGACCCTGGGGCTCTAGAATCCAGAGGGGTCAGGTTCCAGGCCTCTGGGACATCCACCACCCTTTTGAGCAAGTGATAGAATTCCAACTCAAACCAGCTGAACCCAGAACAGGAAGGCCAGGTTTCTAGGGCCTGAGGAGGAGGAGGCAGCGGGGTCGGGGGAGGTGGTCTCAAAAAAAAAAAAGTCCGCCCAGTGCTGTGGCTCACACCTGTAATCCCAGCACTTTGGGAGGCTGAGGCGGGTGGATCAGCTGAGGTCAGGAGTTCGAGACCAGCCTGGCCAACATAGTGAAACCCCGTCTCTACTAAAAATATGAGAAATTAGCTGGCCGTGGCGGCAGATGCCTGTAATCCCAGCTACTCGGGAGGTTGAGGCAGGAGAATCAGCTGAATCCAGGAGGCGGAGGTTGCAGTGAGCCAAGATCACGCCATTACACTCACTCCAGCCTGGGCAATAAGAGCAAAACTCCGTCTAAAAAAAAAAAAAAAGAAAAAGTCTGTGCGCTCAGCTCTTTCTTCCCTACCCCTGCCCCGCCCCCTCCCTGGCAGTTGGACCCTTTCCTGGGGATGATGATGGGCGTCGGCGGAGGCATGGACTTTGACTCCAAGAAAGCCTACAGGTGAGGCCCCGCCTGGGGTCGGGGCAGCCGGGAAGGGACAGGGTGAGGTGGGCAGGGGCGAGCCTGCCTGGGAACGCTGATCTCCTGCTGAACCGCAGGGACGTGGCCTGGCTGGGTGACTGCGAACAGGGCTGCCTGGCCCTCGCTGAGCTCCTCGGATGGAAGGTGAGGAGCCAGGCGACCCCAGCCTGTCCTGAGCCCCGTCCCTAGACCCTCTCCCAGCCCCATCTGTCCTCTGACCCCATGATGCACGGTGACCTTTGACCTATGTGACCTTTCCCCCCGCAGAAGGAGCTGGAGGACCTTGTCCGGAGGGAGCACGCCGTCATCGAAGCCCAGTCAGAGGCGGGGGCCCGCAACCCCAGCGCTTCAGCTTCCCCCGGGAAGTCCCCGCCAGCTGCCAAGGAGGAGGCCGGGACGACAGAGAGGGAGAAAGCCCAGTGACAGCGGCAGCTCCCAGGCGGGATGGCCAGCCCCTCAGAGACAGCTGAGCCCCAACCAGGCCTGGCCCCCTCTTAACCTGCAGTTCTTGTCTGGGGAGCTCGGAACAACCCCCTGATCTCTTAACCACTCCCCCTCCGAACTGGGGTCCCAGCAACCCTGCCCTCCAACCCCAGCAAATCTAACACCTCCTAGAGACCAAGGCTTGGACAGGCGTCTACCAGCCGCACCACCTCTAGCCACTCCACTAATCATTAACCACCCCCGCGGGGCCGGGCCTACCCCGACTTCTAACTCTTCCAGGACAGGGAGCTTCGGGCCCCCACTCTCTCTCCTGCCCCCAGGAGCCTGTGGCTAAGTAAACCAGACCTAACCTACCCCCACGGGGGTGTGGGCCTCCGAATGAAACCTACACCCAGCCTAGGGGAGTCTGAGCCAGACGGGCTGCCGAGTCTCTGCCTTCAACTCCCAAAGTGGGTGGTGGGCCCCTTCACACGGGACCCACTTCCCATGCTGGGTGGCCACAAGACATTGCTTGTTGGAGACAAATTAAAAACAAAAACAACTAACAGTTGGGTCTGGCCTCCTGCTTCTTCTGCGGCAGCCAGGGAAATCGCTGAAGGGAGGGGTTAGATCTCAGGCCACTGAGGAACCGGAAAGTCTCTGGGCTTCAGAGTGAGGGGTGACCAGAGAGTCCTCACGGCGGTCCCCTCGTGGCTTTGACCCCTGGACTCCCACCCCTGCCAGTGTCCCTTCCTCTAAGCCCCGTCACTGAAGGCCTGAGCCCCCGAAAGAGGGAGGAAGGTTGACTTCAGATACCCCAGCCCCGCCTCTTCCCCTGCTCGGCTTCCTCTCTGCACTTCCTGCCACTGCAGGCCTCTCCGAGAACAGGTAGGGCCCCCAGGGACCGAGCATCTGGCATCTTCAGCCCCTCTGCCTCCCTTTGGTATCAGGCAGCTGCCCCCCTTCCCAGCCCTGCCCAGCACTGCCCACAGCCTCCTCCCCTGCCACGGTACCCAGGCAGGCATCTGCCTCCCTTTCCCCTCCTCTCCCCTCCTTCCTGCTGTGGCCCCGGGCAGCGCACCTGCACCTCCCCCCGCCCCACCTCTCTCCTTCCTAATAACACCCTGGGCTTCTGGTCAATAGGCTAATGTATTTGTTTAGCTGCTAGTTATCCATATGCTACACCTGCCCCAAACCAGAATGGAAGGTCCTGAGGGGAGGGGCCTGTCCTGTTGATCACCCTCTCTCTGGGGCACAGGCACCTAATTCCAGCCTGTATTCAATAAATATTGGATGGATGGGAAGGAAGGAAGGAAGGAAAGATAGATGGATAGAAGGAAAGAAAAGGAAGGAAGGACAGATGGAAGGAAGGAAGGGAGGGAGGAATGAAGGGAGGGAGGGAGGGCAGGTGGGTAGGTGGATGGAAGGAAAGATGGATGGATGGAACGAAAGGGATTGCTGCAGGGACAAGTGGCCACCCCAAGTGATAACCCACATAGAACTCTGTACCTGGGTCGGAGCTGGGCTCTGATGGGTGGATGGAGGGAGAGGGACAGATGTTCGATGAGGCAGAGTGAGTAAAATGTCCATGCCCGCATCTCGGCAGTGGGCATATGGATGTTTTCTGTACAATCCTTTCAGCTTTTCTCTGGGCCTGAAATGTTTCATAAAAAAGCGCTGGGGGGCCGGGCGCGGTGGCTCAAGCCTGTAATCCCAGCACTTTGGGAGGCCGAGGCGGGTGGATCACGAGGTCGAGAGATCAAGACCATCCTGGTCAACATGGTGAAACCCCGTCTCTACTAAAAATACAAAAAACTAGCTGGGCGTGGTGGCGCGTGCCTGTCATCCCGGCTACTCAGGAGGCTGAGGCAGGAGAATTGCCTGAGCCCAGGAGGCGGAGGTTGCGGTGAGCCGAGATCGCGCCATTGCACTCCAGCCTGGGTAACAAGAGCGAAACTCCGTCTCAAAAAAAAAAAAAAAAAAAAGCGCTGGGAGAGGACATTCAATGGTCCCCACCCCCGACCCCAGGTATGGGAAGGGAGGAGGAGGGGATTGCATTTCCCTGCTGATGTATGCACTGCCTACTGTGCGCCCAGGACTTTCCCAGGCACTGCGTTTTGTCAAGGGCTGGTCCACATTCACACAGCTGCCGTAGCTGCTAAAATCTTCAAATATTCCCTATCACTTAATAAAGAGCTGTTGTTTTGAGTCCTCTCCCCACACCCCAAGACCCACTGTCCTCTCTCCTGGGATCCGCAGATTCCCCACCATCCGGGACTAAAGAATTAACCCCTGTTGGCCAGGCACGGTGGCTCATGCCTATAATTCCAGCATTTTGGGAGGCCAAAGTGGATGGATCACCTGAGTTCAGGAATTTGAGACCAGCCTGGGTAACATGGTGAAACCTCGTCCCTACTAAAAATACAAAAATTATCCAGGCATGGTGATGCATGCTTGTAATCCCAAATACTCAGGAGGCTGAGGCAGGAGAATGGCTTGAATCCAGGAGGCCGGGGTTGCAATGAGCTGAGATTGCACCATTGCACTCCAGCGGGGCAACAGAGCTAGACTCCATCTCAAAAAAAATAAATAAAAGCAGCAAGCAGCCTCTGGGGTCCATTCTGATTGGCCAGGGTCTGGTCTCTGATAGTGATTTTAAGTATCTCAAACATGACCCAGGGGCTGGAGCAGCTCTGAGAGTCTTATCTTCTTCCCTGTCAGAGGCCAGGCCATGACTCACTGGCTTCCTGCATCCTGAGGATGGCCCAGACAGAGGACGAGGCACCTGAGGTCCCCACAGATGGGGAGAGGTGAGGGCTACTGGGGCTGAGGCTCCACCCTCCTTCCCTATATCCAGAAACCCTTTCCATCCAACACCTCCCTCACTACAGAATGCTGAACTGCTCTCTAAGCCTCTGCCTTGCCCCTTCCTGTACCTTTGACCTCACCTCCATGTCCCACTGCCCACCTCTGACCCCTGACCCCCTGGACACTGTCCATCCCAGGCTGGTCCCATCACAGGTGGACAAAGCAGACAGGACCCCTCTAGGGGTCCTGAGCACCCTAGAGCCACTTCTTCGCCTGCAGAGAACATGGGGGGTGTGGCATGTGCCAGAGCTGGATACCCAGGATGCAGAAGCCCTCGTGGGGCTGTGGCCACTGGGGGTGAGTACTCACAGCTGGGGGCCCATCCTGACTCCCACAACACCCTAGATCAGGACTCTGCTCGTTACTAGCAATGAACACGACACAAACTGGTCAGACCAAAAAGGCCGAGTGTGCCAGGTGTGATGGCTCATGCCTACAGTCCCAGCTACTAAGGAAGCTGAGGTGGGAGGATCACTTGAGGTCAGCAGGTCGAGGCTGCTGTCAGCTGAGATCGTGCCACTGCACTCCAGCCTGGGTGATGCAGCAAGACCCTGTCTCAAACAACAACAACAAAATACAAGTCGTTTCAAGAAGGACTAGATCCTGGACTTCAGAACTTCTGTAAATTTCTCTGCATCTGATTTCTTGGCTTCGCTTTCAACTGCAGGAAACTTTGGATATTTGGGACCGAAAATAACAAACACATGTCCTACAGTGGATTAAACAAATGAGCATTTTATCTTCCTAACATAGCTAAAAAGGCGGATTCTGGCTTTAGATCAGCAGCTCAATGACATGGAGGCCAGCATAGCTGTAATTCTCTCGGACTTCCCTCACAGCTGCCCTGGGGCTGCCCCAGGCCCAAGCACCTGTGTGCATTCCCGGCAGGAAGGAAGGAGGCACCAATTGCATCTGTTTATTTCACAGGAAAAACAAAGGTTTTCACAAGTGATTCAGAAAATACAGATGGCTGACCAGGTGTGGCGACTCATGCCTGTAATCCCAGCACTTTGGGAGGTTGAGGTGGGAGGATCCCTTAAGGCTAGGAGTTCAAGACCAACCTGGGCAACATAGCAAGGCCCTATCTCTATTTTTTTTTTAAGTGGGGGTGGGCAGAGTGGCTCACCCTGTAATCCCAGCACTTTGAGAGACCAAGGTGGGTGGATTACGAGGTCAGGAGTTTGAGACCAGACTGGCCAACATGGCGAAATCCCACCTCTACTTAAAATACAAAAATTAGCCAGGCATAGTGGCAGGCGCCTGTAATCCCAGCACTTTCGGAGGCCAAGGCGGGCAGATTACGAGGTCAGGAATTCAAGACCAGCCTGGCCAACATGGTAAAATCCCGTATCTACTAAAAATACAAAAATTAGCTGGGCATGGTGGCACATGCCTGTAATCCCAGCTACTTGGGAGGCTGAGGCAAGGGAATGGCTTGAATAGGGACCCAAAAGGCAGAGGCTGCAGTGAGCTGAGACCATGCCACTGCACTCCAACCTGGGCAACAGATCAAGACTGTCTCAGAAAAAAAGAATCCTGTGGAAGATGTCCATTTGGCTGAGCTTGAGTCACGTACCCTTTCCTGAACCAAACATTGGGCAGAGAGCACAGTAATCCTACTGGCTAGATCAGGTCTTGGGCCTACCCCAACGGCTTAGGGGAAATCAGCCCGACCCTCATGGACTGACAGTAGGGAGTTTCCCTAAAGGAAATTTGGGGTGCAGAACCCAAAATAAGGGAAATCGATGCTAATCAGGCAAAAGGAACAGGCATCTGTGCACACCTTTGTCACACTGGCCTTTGTCTCTGTCCCCCAGAGTTTCTTGGTCACGGGACGTGACCCCAGCCAGGTCCTGGTGTTGAGGACAGGACCTTTACCAGGAGGAGTCAACACCTACCAGATCCAGAAGATTCCTGGAGGTAAGGCACGTTCCCTGAGTCTCCAGCCCACAGTCAATTGATCACTAAAAACTGTCAGCTAGACTTGAGGGGCAGCTCACACCTGGAATCCCAGCACTTTGGGAGGTTGAGGTGGGTGGATCGCTGGAGGCCAGGAGTTCGAGGCCAGCCCAGACAACATAGTGAAACCCCATCTCTCCTAAAAATATAAATATTAGCCAGGCTTGGTGACGCACGCCTGTAATCCCAGCTACTTGGGAGGCTGAGGCATGAGAATAGCTTGAACCCATGAGATGGAGGTTGCAGTGAGCCGAGATCGCACCACTGCACTCCAGCTGTGGCAACAGAGGGAAACGCTGCCTGAAATAAAAAATAAAAACTGTCAGCTTTGCTTCCAAAGTATCTGATAAATATTCCTAACTGCCTTCCTTTCCTTCCTGAAATCCATTCTGAGCAGAACATATTTTAAAATGTCAATCAGATGTTAAACACCCCTGCCTCAAACCCTGCAAAGAACATACAACATCCTTATACACAAATGCAAAGTCCTTGTCACGATCTGTGCGTGTGATCTAGCCCCTGCCTGTCTCTCCATCTATTGACCCTCGTTCTGAAGCAGGAACGGCGGAGAACAAACCTCTCAAACACCGAACTGAGGAGGGAAGTGGCTTTTTATTCAGCCAGGAGCTGCAGGGGGCTACAGCCTCATTCACAGAGCTCCTTAAGCTGCAGCTTCTCTCCCCTTTTATAGGCTTACAATGCTAAAGGGGAAACTGAGGCGGAACTATGTCATTGTCCATTTGCTGGACGTCCAACCTTACAATCTTTTGGCTTCATGTATTTGCTAATTCATGTGCAGTGCAAGCGGGGACCAGCAGGGGAGGGGGCTTACAGAGATAAGACAAAAGCAACAAGCTGTTCGTTGGCAGAGGTGTTTCCAGGAGGGAGCCCGGTCCGTGAAGATGTGGGGACGTGACCCAGTGCCAGGCTCTAGCCTGCAGAGAGAACTATTGTAGCTCTTTCAAGGTTAACAGATAGCAGAGAAGCTGGGAACTAAAGACGGAGTCATTTTCCCAGCTCTTTGATATTTTATTTCATTTTTTTTTTCCTTCTTCACCCTCCTTTACATCTGGAAGAGGGGGAGGGAGGAAGTGAAATTGAAGGAGGCAAGGGGGTCTCCCCTCTCGATTCACTCTGCCCCTGACACACCGTTCTCCTTTGTGTGTCTTTAGCATGCTAAGTGTGTTCCAGCCTCAGGACCTCTGCGTGGGTTCTTCCTGCGTGCTGCTCCTCCTGGAGGGGTCGCTTTGGTCTCCATCCTCCGGCCTCTGCAGAAATGTAACCTTTCTTGACCATCGTAGTTAAAAGATGGCCCCTTGGTCACTTTCTTTTTCTTTTTTTTTTTTTTTTTTTTTTTTTTTGAGACGGAGTTTCGCTCTTGTTACCCAGGCTGGAGTGCAATGGCGCGATCTCCGCTCACCGCAACCTCCGCCTCCTGGGTTCAGGCAATTCTCCTGCCTCAGCCTCCTGAGTGGCTGGGATTACAGGCACGCGCCACCATGCCCAGCTAATTTTTAGTATTTTTAGTAGAGACGGGGTTTCACTATGTTGACCAGGATGGTCTCGATCTCTTGACCTCGTGATCCACCCGCCTCGGCCTCCCAAAGTGCTGGGATTACAGGCTTGAGCCACCGCGCCTGGCCTCTTTTTCTTTTTTCTTTCTTTTTTTTTTTTTTTTTTTTGAGACAAGGTCTTACTCTGTCACTCAGCATAGAACACAGCGGCCCAGTCTCAATTCATTGCCACCTCTGCCTCCCAGGTTCAAGCAATTCTCATGCCTCAGTCTCCCAAGCAGCTGAGATTACAGGTGCACACCACCACACCCGACTCAATGTTTGCTTTGTTTTGGTGGGGTTTTTTGTTGTTGTTGTTGTTGTTTATTTGTTTTTGAGATGGAGTCTTGCTCTGCTACCAGGCTGGAGTGCAGTGGCACGATCTCAGCTCACCACAACCTCCGACTTCCTGGTTCAAGCGATTCTCCTGCCTTAGCCTCCCTAGTAGCTGGGATTACAGGCATGAGCCATCATGCACAGCTAATTTTTGTATTTTTAGTAGAGACAGGGTTTTACCACATTGACCAGGATGGTCTCGATCTCCGGACCTCGTAATCTGCCCACCTCAGCCTCCCAAAATGCTGGGATTACAGGTGTGAGCCACCACACCTGGCCATGTTTTTTGTATTTTTAAGAGACGGGTTTTGCCATGTTGGCCAGACTGGTCTCAAAGTCCTGACCTCAGGTGATCCACTCACCTCGGACTCCCAAAGTGCTGGGATTACAGACATGAGCCACCATGCCCAGCCCCTTGGTCACTTTGAGTCAGTCCAGTTCCTTTATGGCACTCAATACGATATCCACTTTGTTTTTTTTTTTTGTTTGTTTGTTTGTTTTGTTTTGTTTTGTTTTTTTTGAGACGGAGTTTTGCTCTTGTTACCCAGGCTGGAGTGCAATGGCGCGATCTCGGCTCACCGCAACCTCCGCCTCCTGGGTTCAGGCAATTCTCCTGCCTCAGCCTCCTGAGTAGCTGGGATTACAGGCACGCACCACCATGCCCAGCTAATTTTTTTTTGTATTTTTAGTAGAGACGGGGTTTCACCATGTTGACCAGGATGGTCTCGATCTCTTGACCTCATGATCCACCCGCCTCGGCCTCCCAAAGTGCTGGGATTACAAGCTTGAGCCACCACGCCCAGCCGACGATATCCACTTTGTTTACTCATTTTTTTTTTTTTTTTTTGAGACAGAGACTCACTTTGTGGTCCAAGCTGGGGTGCAGTGGTAAAATCTTGGCTTACCTACTTCCCAGGTTCAAGTGATTCTCCTGCCTCCGCCTCCCAAGTATCTGAGATTACAGGTGTCCAGCACCACACTCGACTAATTTTTGTATTTTTATTTATTTATTTTATATGTTACGTTACGTTATTTATTTGTTTGTTTTTTGAGACAGAGTCTTGCTCTGTCACCCAGACTGGAGTACAATGGTGCAATCTCCATTCACTTCAACCTCTGCCTCCTGGGTTCAAGTGATTCTCCCACCTCAGCCTCCTGAGTAGCTGGGATTATAGGCATCCACCACCCACACCTGTCTAATTTTTTGTATTTTTAGTAGAGATGGGGTTTCAACATGTTGGCTAGGCTGGTCTCAAACTCCTGACCTCAGGTGATCCGCCCACCTCAGCCTCCCAACGTGCTGGGATTACAGGCGTGAGCCACCATGCCCCAACTGTTTACTCACTTATATTCTGCCTTTCCCCCCTCTGCCCCGTGCTAAAAGGTAAGCTACCAGAAGGCAGTGAACTTGTCTGCCTTTTGATAACTGTATCTCCAGTGCCTGGAAATGACTAAGGGCTCAATTAGTATTTGTCTAATGAACGAATCCTAGTTCGTGGTATAAGTGGGATGAAAGAGTAAAGATGGGATGGTCAGGCGCGGTGGCTCACGCCTGTAATCCCAGCACTTTGGGAGGCCAAGGTGGGTGGATGATGAGGTCAGGAGTTCGAGACCAGCCTGCCCAACATGGTGAAACCCTGTCTCTACTAAAAATACAAAAATTGCCGGGCGCGGTGGCTCACGCCTGTAATCCCAGCACTTTGGGAGGCTGAGGCGGGTGGATCACGAGATCGAGAGATCGAGACCATCCTGGTCAACATGGTGAAACCCCGTATCTACTGAAAATACAAAAAAATTAGCTGGGCATGGTGGCACGTGCCTGTAATCCCACCTACTCAGGAGGCTGAGGCAGGAGAATTGCCTGAACCCAGGAGGCAGGGGTTGCGGTGAGCTGAGATCGCGCCATTGCACTCCAGCCTGGGTAACAAGAGCGAAACTCCGTCTCAAAAAAAAAAAAAAAAATTGCCAGGCACAGTGGTGTGTGCCTATAGTTCCAGCTACTCAGGAGGCTGAGGTGGGAGGATCGCTTGAGCCCAGGAGTTCTGGGCTGTAGTGCACTATGCCAATTGGGTGTCCACACTAAGTTCGGCATCAAAATATGGTGACCTCCCGGCAGCAGGGGACCATCAGGTTGCCTAAGGAGGGGTGAACCGGCCCAGGTCGGAAACGGAGCAGGTCAAAACTACCGTGCTGATCAGTAGTGGGATCACGCCTGTGAATAGCCACTGCACACTGCACTCCAGCCTGAGCAACATAGCGAGACCCCGTCTCTTAAAAAAAAAAAAAATACAAAAATGATCTGGGCGTGGTGGTGGGCGCCTGTAATCCCAGCTACTCAGGAGGCGAGGCAGGGGAATCGCTTGAACCCAGGAAGCAGAGGTTGTAGTGAGCTGAGATTGCACCATTGCACCCAGCCTAGGTGACAGAGTGATACTACATCTCAAAAAAAAGAGCAAAGATGGGGACTCCGAGTAGTGGGAACTTCCCTGTTCTGAAGGTCCCTGCGGAGATTCTGAAGGAATGGGGGACCAAGAGAGTCCCAGGAAACAGGACTGTACCACTCAAGTTTACTTTCTTCTTCTTCCTCCCCCCACCCCAGGTGTGACCCTGGACTCCTCCAACCTCTGCATGCCAGACCTGCCCCATCTCCTGGCCTTTCTATCAGCCAGCAGGTACAGGTCACCCATCCAAGGCACTAAAGGGGACCCTTCCCTAAGACACCCCACTGACACTGTGGCTCCCACCTCTCTATTCTCAGGGATGTTCTGCCCAGAACCCTGCTCTTGCCTCCTCCCACTCTAGGGCCTGGAGATGAACACCAAGGTGAGGCATGGTTCTCCAAAGGAGGGCACAGCCAACCTGCCGATTTCCTTGCTCCAAGGAAATGAACGGGGATCCGGGACCCAGACTACTGGGTTTGAGGGAAATATAGAACTGGGAGCTAGAGAGAGCTGGGGGCCTGGACTTTGTAGTCCCAGAGGGTGGAGGGAATGGAGGCATGTATTCCTGGGTTCTAACAGAGGAGGAAATTGGAGGAGGAGGGAAGTGGGGGGCCGGACTCCTGGGCCTAAGTGAGGAGGGGACTGGGGGCCTGAACTCCTGGGTCTGAGTGAGGAAGGGCCAGGAGCTAAGCCTTAGCACCTCCAGCAATGAAGGTGGGAAGTAAGTCTCCTGGTGCCCTGAAGGGACCGGGGTTGGTCTCTCAGATACCCAGGACACCTTCTCACTTCTGCTGTCCCCAGATCCTCTGCATATCGGCAGCATCCAACAGGCCACCCCAGGGAAGGTGCTTTCCATTATTAACCAACTCTACCTGGAGACCCACAGAGGCTGGGGGAAGGAGCAGACCCCCCAAGAAATAGAGCCAGAGGCTGCCCAGAGATACGATCCAGGTTAGCTGGGGTGGGGGGTGGGGGCTGGGCCTCTGAGGGAGGAGGGAGCTGCTGCCCCTGTTCTAGGGGACCCAATGCCCTCCTCACATCCAGCCCCCAGGAACCCTGGGCCTCACGGAGTCTCCTGGGTGAAAGGCCCGCTCAGCCCAGAAGTGGGCCATCCTGGGCCGGCTCTTGCCAGCCTCCTGGAGGAGGAGGAAGATCCTGAAGGAAGAGAGGAAGCAAGGGAGGAGGACCCTGAAGAGGAAGGCCCCCAGGACATGCTCACCATTCACATCCAAGCTCTGGTCAGGGCTCGGAGCAGCTACGTGGCCAGGAAGTACCGAAGTCTGCGGTTGCGCATCGCCTCGGATTCTGGGGGTCCCCACAGGCCTGGGGACCCGGCCACAGAGCTGCTTCAGGATGTGCGGCAGCTCCTTATTGACCTTCAAGATCACCTGGCAAAGGACCCCTACATCCAGGCTGTCTCTGGGAGCAAGGGTCCTGGGGTATCCAAGAAGGATGAAGATCCAGGTAATGGGAGGATGGGAAGGGAGCCCCCATGGGTTCAAGTGTGCGATGTTCTCTCCATCGACGTGCACACACATTTCCTTCTGCACCCACATGCCCTTCCTACACATCCCACGCGTTCTATCGCCCACGTGTGACAGCCATACTCCCTTGTCCTGAGCACAAGTTCACACCCAGGGTCACTCTTCCACACGTGTTCACACCCATGTTTACACTTGCAGGGGACCAGGGGACCAGAGCCAGGGGAAGCAGTGTGCCAGGGTGGGTTGGTGGAGCGCGTGGGTGGCTGGACGCGGAGCAACTTGGCGGCCCTGCGCTCACCCGTCCCCCACCCCCTCGCAGGCCCTGCGCTGGAGACGGCCGTGTGCCAGGCGGTGCTGGAGCCCCTGAAACCGGCCCTGTGGACGCGACTCCGCACGCTCCGAGCGCCGGAGCTGCGGCGGCTGCGGAGGCGACAGACAGCCCTGCGGGCGGGGGCGGGGCCTCCGGGAGCACAGGGGGCGGGGCCTGAGGGTCAGGGCCCCGCCCCCGCCTTGCGGAGCCGCATCCACGCGCGCCTTGCGCACCTCCACGCCGCCTGCGCCCCGCGTCGCAAGGTGGCGCTCCTGTTGGAGGTGTGCAAAGATGTCTACGAGGGCCTGGCTCAGGGCGAGAACCAAGGTAAGGGAGGGGTCAACGTGTAGTGTGGTGGAGAGCGGCTCGAGGGTGAGGGGAGGCGGGCGGGAGGCGGGCGTGCAGGCGCACGTGGAGGGAGCGGGTAGCGTTGGTGGGAGGCGTCTGCGCGGTCCTGGGGATTCTGGTAGGAGGCGCTGTCGTGCCCCACAGGTGAAGGGGCAGCGGGCCCTCGCGGTCCTGGGGATCGGATGGAAGGTGTCTGCGCGCCCACATCCGTCTCAGGACCTTTCCTTGGGCTTTCCCAGATCCTCTGGGGGCCGACGCCTTCCTGCCGGCGCTGACCGAGGAACTCATCTGGAGCCCGGACATTGGGGAGACGCAGCTGGACGTGGAGTTTCTTATGGAGCTCTTGGATCCAGACGAGCTGCGCGGAGAGGGTGAGTCCCCAACTCCAGAATTCTGGAACCCAAAGATCCAGGGCCTCCGGGATCCCAAACAGCCTCCCCTCGGCAGCAGGAGGGACAGCAGGCAAACTGCAGGGGGATTTGGGACAGGGAAGCCGAGAGGGCCAAGCTGACCTCCCTTTCCTATCCCCAGCCGGGTACTACCTGACCACGTGGTTTGGGGCGCTGCACCACATTGCCCACTATCAGCCCGAAACGGACCGCGCGCCCCGGGGGCTCAGCTCCGAGGCCCGCGCCTCCCTGCACCAGTGGCACCGCAGGCGGACGCTGCATAGAAAGGAACATCCCAGAGCCCAGGTGACTGCCCTTCCGGCTGCAGGTGGAAGGGAGGGAGAGACCTGGTGCCCTTCTGACACAGCTCCCACCTCTCCCCACAGGACAACTTCCCCTTTAAGGAGCCGTGGGCAGAAGAGACTGTGCCAGGGCCCAATCATGATTAGGGGTTCCACACCCCTCCTCACGCCCCGCCGTTCATGCCTGTAATCCCAACACTTTGGGAGGCCAAAGTGGGAGGATCGCTTGCCCAGGAGTTTGAGACCGGCCTGGGCAAAATAGTGGGACACCGACTCTACCAAAAAAATAAAGAAAAATTAGCCAGGCTTGGTGGCACACTCCTGTGCTTTGCAGTTTTAGAGATGGGTGTCAGAGAAAGCCTCATTGAGGTAACATCTGCAGAAAGGCCTGAAGGAAGGAAGGGGAAGAGCAGTGATATTAGGAAGAGCATTCCAGGAAGCAGGATGAGCCAGTGCAAAGGCCCAGAGAGGGGCTGTTCCCTTTTCCTGGAACACCTCCCTCCTCCTTGATGCTCCTAAACCACACGGGTTAGGAGTCTGGACTGACCCAGGTGCGCCTGGCATCTTGCTTGAGGAACAGGGGTGTTTTGTTTTGTTTTTGAAGGAAGGTCCGGGCTGGGTGCGATGGCTCACACCTGTAATCCCAGCACTTTGGGAGGCTGAGGCGGGCAGATCACGAAGTCAGGAGTTTGAGACCAGCCTGACCAACACGGTGAAAACCCATTTCTTTCTTTCTTTCTTTTTTTTTTTTTTTTTTTTTTTTTTTTTTTTTTTTTTTTTTGAGACGGAGTTTCGCTCTTGTTACCCAGGCTTGTGTGCAATGGCGCGATCTCGGCCCACCGCAACCTCCGCCTCCTGGGTTCAGGCAATTCTCCTGCCTCAGCCTTCCGAGTAGCTGGGATTATAGGCACATGCCACCATGCCCAGCTAATTTTTTGTATTTTTTTAGTAGAGACGGGGTTTCACCATGTTGACCAGGATGTTCTCGATCTCTTGACCTCATGATCTACCCGCCTCAGCCTCCCAAAGTGCTGGGATTACAGGCTTGAGCCACCGCACCTGGCCTCTTTTTTTTTTTTTTTTTTTTAAGAGAAGGGGTCTCACTATGCTGCCCAGGCTGGAGTGCAGTGGCTATTCACAGGCGTGATCCCACTGCTGATCAGCACGGGAGTTTTGACTTGCTCCATTTCCGACCTGGGCCAGTTCACCCCTCCTTAGGCAACCTGGTGGTCCCCTGCTCCCGGGAGGTCACCATATGGATGCCCCTAATTTTTAACATTTTTGTAAAGATGGGGTCTCTCTTTGTTACCCAGGCTGGTCTCAAACTCGTAACCTCAAGCAGTCCTCCCACCTCAGCCTCCCAAAGTGCTGGGATTACAGGCAAGAGCCACCGCACCCAGTCCTGATTTTTTTTCCCCAAATAATGCATCACTTGCTAACATACAATGTATTTATTTCATTGTTCATAGTAGATACAATTTAAACAACTAAAAAGAAACAAATGAAGTTAACATGAATAACAATATGTCTGGTTGGGTGTAGTGGCTCACACCTGTAATCCAAGCACTTTGGAGGCCGAGGCGGACGGATCACCTGAGGTCGGGAGTTCAAGACCAGCCTGACCAACATGGTGAAACCCCGTCTTTAAAAAAAAAAGAAGAAGAATAGCAATATGTCTGATTTAACCCAATGTATCCCAAATATTATCACTTGAACAAGTATCCATATTAAAAAGTTACTAAGATATTTAAAACTTTCTATGTTTGTGTTTGTGTATGTGTATAGTAAAGCTTTGAAATTTGCTATGCATTTGGCTGCTCTTGGTGGCTCGGGCCTGTAATCCAAGTACTTTGGAGGCCAAGGCGGGCTGATCACCTGAGATCGGGAGTTCAAGACCAGCCTGACCAACATGGTGAAACCCCGTCTTTAAATAATAAGAAAGAAAGAAAGAAATTTACTGTGCATTTTACACTTAATCACATCGCAGTTTGGACTAGTCACATCATTTCTTTTCATTTCTTTTTTTTTTTTTTTTTTGAAATGCAGTTTCACTCTTGTTGCCCAGGCTGGCATACAGTGGCGTGATCTTGGCTTATGGCAACCTCCTGCCTCCCTGGTTCAGGTGATTCTCCTGCCTTGGCCTACTAAATAGCTGCGATTACAGACATGTGCCACCATGCCCAGTAAATTTTGTGTTTTTAGTAAAGACAGGCTTTCTCCATGTTGGTTAGGCTGGTCTCGAACTCCTGACCTCAGGTGATCCACCTGCCTTGGCCTCCCAAAGTGCTGGGATGACAAGCATGAGCCACCACACCTGGCCTGGACTAGTCACATTTCAAATACTCACTAGCTACACAAGGTTTCGAGCTACCGTTTTGGACAGCACAGGCTTAGAATGTCAGTTCTGGGAGACTGGGGATCTCTGTTTTGTTTATAGCTGTGTCTTCCTGAGTGCCTCGATCAGTACCTGGTACACAGTTACAAGTACTTGCTGGATGAATCAGTGAACAAAGTTTCTGTAGTAGGCTGGAAAACAGGTCTCAAAAGATACGTGTGTTTTAATCTCTAAAATCCATGACTGTTACCTAATTTTTTTTAATTTTTATTTTGACAAAGGTTTGTTTCTTTCTTTCCTTTCCTTCCTTCTTTTCTTTTCTTTTCTTTTTTCTTTTCTTTTGGAGACTGAGTCTCACTCTGTTACAGCCCAGGCTGGAGTCTGTAGCGGTGTGATCTCGGTTCACTGCAACGTCCGCTTCCCGGGTTCAAGTGATTCTCCTGCCTCAGCCTCCTGGGTAGCTGGGATTACAAGTGGTCCATCCTCCTAGGCCTCAGAAAGTGCTGGAATTACGGGCAAGAGCCACTGTGCCCGCCCCTTACTTTATTTGGAAATGGTCTTTGCAGATGTTGTTAAATTAAGAATCTTTTTCTTTTTCTTTTTCTTTTTGAGACTGAGTCTTGCTCTCTTGCCCAGGCTGGAGTGAAGTGGCACAATCTCTGCTCAGATTCAAGTGATTCTCCTGCCTCAGCCTCCCAGGTAGCTCGGAATACAGGCACACGCTGCCACTGCACCTGGCTATTTTTTTTTTTTTTTTTTTTTTTTTTGAGATGGAATTTCACTCTTGTTGCCCAGGCTGGAGTACAATGGTGTGATCTCAGCTCACCGCTACCTCCACCTCCCAAATTCAAGCGATTCTCCTGCCTCGGCCTCCCGAGTAGCTGGGATTATAGGCAAGCACCACCACGCGTGGCTAATTTTGTATTTTGAGTAGAGATGGGGTTTCACCATGTTGATCAGGCTGATCTTGAACACCTGACCTCAAGTGATCCGCCTGCCTTGGCCTCCCAAAGTGCTGGGATTACAGGTGTGAACTACTGTGCCCAGCATTTTTTTTTTGAGACAGAGTCTCGCTCTGTTGCTTATGCTACAGCCCAGTCGTGCAGACTTGGCTCACTGCAACCTCCACCTCCTAGGTTCATGTGATTCTCCTGCCTCAGCCTTCCAAGTAGCTGGGATTACAGGCAAGCGACACCACGCCCAGCAAATTTTTGTATTTTTAGTGGAGACGGGGTTTCGTCACATCGGCCAGGCTGCTCTACAAACTCCTGGCCTCAAGTGATCTGCCAGCCTTGGCCTCCCAAAGTGCTGGGATAACAGGCATGAGCCACCAAGCCTGGCCTAATTTAAGAATATTAAAATGGGCCGGGCGCGGTGGCTCAAGCCTGTAATCCCAGCACTTTGGGAGGCCGAGGCGGGTGGATCACGAGGTCGAGAGATCGAGACCATCCTGGTCAACATGGTGAAACCCCGTCTCTACTAAAAGTGCAAAAAATTAGCTGGGCATGGTGGCACGTGCCTGTAATCCCAGCGACTCAGGAGGCTGAGGCAGGAGAATTGCCTGAGCCCAGGAGGCGGAGGTTGCGGTGAGCCCAGATCGCGCCATTGCACTCCAGCCTGGGTAACAAGGGCGAAACTCCGTCTCAAAAAAAAAAAAAAAAAAAAGAATATTAAAATGGGAGGCTGGGCGAGGTAGCTCACGCCTGTAATCCCAGCACTTTGGGAGTCCGAGGCGGGCAGATCACTTGAAGTCACCATTGTTTTTGAAAGCCAAAAGCTTGAGACTGGCTGTGCTGGACATCAAAGTAAGAAGTACTGGGGGGACTGCCGGCTGTGGCCCCGATCTTATCTTCCTACAGAACAGAGTAGGCAGCCAGACCCCAGCAGACCACAGCAAATCCGTCTCCTCCTTCAGGGACTAGCAGCGGTCTCTGGGGCAAGAGTGTGCCAAGAATTTCACTGCATTGATTTATTTATGTGTTTATGTATGTGTTTTTTATTTACTTCTACATGGTGGTCAAAAAAAAAAACAAAACACCCATAAAATTGGCTAGGTGTAGTGGCCAAGTAGTCCCGGTACTTTGGGAGGCAGAGGCCAGAGAATCACTTGAGCTCAGGAGCTTGAGACCAGCCTGGCCAACATGGTGAAACCCCATCTATATTAAAAATGCAAAAATTAGCGCCGGGCGCAGTGGCTCAAGCCTGTAATCCCAGCTCTTTGGGAGGCTGAGGCAGGTGGATCACGAGGTCGAGAGATCGAGACCATCCTGGTCAACATGGTGAAACCCCGTCTCTACTAAAAGTGCAAAAAATTAGCTGGGCATGGTGGCACATGCCTGTAATCCCAGCTACTCAGGAGGCTGAGGCAGGAGAATTGCCTGAGCCCAGGAGGCGGAGGTTGCGGTGAGCCGAGATCACGCCATTGCACTCCAGCCTGGGTAACAAGGGCGAAACTCCGTCTCAAAAAAAAAAAAAAAAAAAAAAAAAATGCAGTAATTAGCCTGGCATGGTGGCTTGTGCCTATAATCCCAGCTACTTTGGAGGCTGAGCGGGGAGGATCACTTGAACCTAGGAGGCGGAGATTGCAGTGAGCCAAGATTGAGCCATTGCACTCCCGCCTCGGCAACGAGAGACAAACTCCGTCTCTAAATAAATAAATAAATAAATAAATAGCTGGGCATGGTAGCTCATGCCTGTAATCCCAGCACTTTGGGAGGCTGAGGGTGGGTGGATCAGCTGAGGTCAGAAGTTTGAGACCAGCCTGGCCAACATGGTGAAAACCCTCTCTACTAAAAATACAAAAATTAGCTGGGCACGGTAGTGGGCACCTGTAATCCCAGCTACTCGGAGGCTGAGGCAGGAGAATCGCTTGAACCTGAGAGGCAGAGGTAGCAGTGAGCTGAGATCACGCCACTGCACTCCAGCTGGGTGACAAGAGCGAAAC